GTTCCGTTCCGTTCCGTTCCGTTCCGTTCCGTTCCGTTCCGTTCCGTGCCGTTCCGTTCCGTTCCGTGCCGTTCCGTTCCGTTCCGTTCCGTTCCGTTCCGTTGCCATTTTTGCCAATGCCAAAATAAAAATGCCACTTTTTACATTACATTATTCAAATTAAGCCCTACCGGGGTTTTTACACCGTTTCTTATTCATGTGCCTTAAGGTACAAAAGGTATAATGAAAAGGTTGTGTATAATTAATAGGTATAAAAGGGGTTCTTTTTGACAGCATTCCTTAAATAAGGTGAACTGCGCCGCGTTTTATTCACCTCTTTGTATCGGAATCCTAATTTCTCTCAAATAGGTTACAAAGAGGCGTGGCCTTTTTTATAAAATAGTCCTAAATTTCTAAGCAAATCCTTAATTTATTCTATTTTTATAATATCAAGTGAAGGGACGAACAAGTCGTGCGCCTGATGGTAAGCTACACGCCTGTTCATAACAGTTTCAGTACCACTCAGAGCTTTACATCGTAAAGATCTGAGGGGCACTGCCCCTGGCCCGTCACCCTTGAGACATAAGCTGACAAGTCCTATGTGCTTGTAATTTCACCAGCACCCTTACCCTTCAAACTTCAAACCGGAGCCACAGTAATGCTGACATTACTGCTTGGCGGCAGAAATTATCAATCCATCAGAAATCATATAAAGAAATTAATTTGGTTTTTTATATGTATATGGATTTTTAGTAAGCTGAAAATCAACTTGACATAAAGGTTCAAACTTGCGTGGTCAATACATCGAATACATCTCTAAACATAAAGTTGGTCGAAATGTTTCGCAAAACAAACTTAGTAACTAGTTCATCCAGTGTATGCCTCATGCATAGAATTTTACCATGCCCGCGTCATCCCATTCGAACATATAAAGTAATTGTGTGTAGCAAGAAGAGATGTCTTTATAGTAGAAACGTAGATAATTATTGTTGTTCTTAATTAAATGAAATAAAATAAAGTAAAAGAAGATCCACGAATTATTGCGACTCATATCTATAGAGGAGAATGGCGGATAAAACGGAATCCTGGGGGAATTGGCATTAATGTCATGCAGATTGGACAAGCTATTGATGACTACCCGTATTTATCTGTCCTACAGAAAGTTGCTATCCAATTGTAAAGACCGGTAACTGTGCCGTACGACGAAAGTTTGCCAATGAGACTTTCGTGCCAAACCGTAGACTTATCGAGAGACACGGTGAGAACTTTGCAGTGATTTTCAACGGTTTCGCTCCATAGAAGCATAAACGAATAAGCTTCAATAGACCGGCCACCGAGCTACTAGAGCTGTTTACGTGGTCTGCCAGGAGTTGAATGTGTGTTATTTAACACACATTCAACAAAGAATCAAGGAGATCGCAATAATATGATAGTTCCCATGGTCAGCACAATTTTAAGTATTGGCGGCATATTAGCAGTCTTCCATAATTTTAACAATTTGATTTTGGCTATGCCGCGGTCAATGGTGCTTGTTCTTCGCAGCAAAGGTTGTATAGTTATCGCACTTTGACACCTTCTTGAAGTTCACTTCAACAAAAGTGCCATAGAGAATATACACGAATATTTAATGTATACTTGCTATAGGCGAACCGGCTCAATTCCGGGAAATCTCGGGAGCATATCGTATATAAGATACGCTACAGGAAATAGTGGCAGTTCAGTTATTCAGAATCCCCCAATGGCTTTTATCGACAGTCATGCTACTGGAAACTATACAGAGAATCTAGATCATACTTACAAAATGAACATTTTGTTCCATGTAGGAGCATTTGTTTTAGACACGCTGTGTGTATGTAAGCTTTCGTTTGTTACTTCGACGACGCAGTAACTTTCATTGGTCGATAGTCCTTTAGCTCCGTATACGACGATTGTCAGCTGTCCTACATCGTGAAAGTCACCCCAAACACGTCTCCACATCTGTCAATAGATAACATGATGATATTACTGTGAAAATAGTAAATACATTATTTTTTGTAGTATAAGGAATAAAGATCCTTCATTCTTCTTAGGATCCCTAAACTTTATTGAGAGCTAATTTGAATTAGTACTCAATAAACTTTCATTGAGGTTCAATGATGCGTTGTTTAGTGTACGAATCGCGGTAAATTAGATTTTTTGTTTGTTATCAAATGTAGGTATTTTTCCAACTTTTTGGCCTGATCAGCAGTTTTCAACTGACAAACCTTATTCAAATGGTCAGACTATTTGTGATAGTGGATGCGATGTATCTCAAGGGATTTAGCTTTGGGTAAAGTACAGTTTTGTACGTATAAGAGGTTTTCAGGAGACTGCGTTTTCATATGCTAAAGCGCGAATTAAATCGAGTTTAAGTATTAGTTTTGTAATGTTAGCATTAACAAATTTAGCCTTTATTGCCTCGGCAGTTCAGGTGTCTTAAATTCTGAAGTGCAATATTAGGAGTCTGTTTGGAGTACATTGGTCGGCACTACAGTTGGTGAGTTTGCATAACGTTGCTAACGTTAATAATTAAAAAATTAACGGCGTGAAGGTAGAATATCATAAAGCATTAACTAGATTTAGAACTAAACCCGCCATTTCTACATGAGATGGCAGAGGAGGGGCTGTAGAGTTGTGTGTGGAGGTATAATAGAAATCATAATAGAAATCATAGGAACACATTGGTTAAGATCGAGGGGATCGAGGGGATTATGAGGTTGAGGACCTATTTGGACAATGATAATATGTTCTACGAAAAAGAATGGACTTAGAAAATGTATAGGAGAAGAAATGAATTGTTATGTTAGTCAGGAATGTCGCAAAATTAATTTACATTATTATATACATCATTAATTTACATCATCGTGGTGACACCAAATTTAGTATTTTTATATGTTTAAATGATGTCTGTGACACTTATTCATTACGAATCTATGAAATCATTCGCTATAAGAGAATTTTACTAACTCTAAAACTTACATATGAACGCTCAGCGGCCTGAATTTGTCGTTGTAGTTCCTGATATTCGTTGAAATCTCCAAAAGTGTTTACTAAAGAGGTGCCAGTTATTGTAAGTAAGAAAAATATCTGGAAATTCGACGTTCCATCCTCCAAGTTTATTCGCATTTTGTGTGTCTTCTCTTTCTTTATTTCTAATAAGTCTATAAGAGTTCTGAAATCAGGTTTAAAAATCAATTAAACTATAAAATTGTATCCCTGAAACTATTGATGATGATCGGAATGGGAAACTCAGTGACTGGCAGCTAACATACATAAAGTATTTTCACATTCCTATGGCTATAGGAATGCGGAAATTTTAGGGCATTTTAGGGCACCTTGCCACCATATTGAAATTTAAAAATACGATAAACAACATTTACGTATATTTGTAATAGTTACTCACTTGCCAAGCAACGTATTTTTCTCCCACAATGCAATATGCAGGAGATATTCGTCGTACACGTTCATATTGAATAGTTCTTGGAAAGTGGCTGTGGAGGCATTAGTCCTTGTTGTTTTTGATTTTCGCTTTTCCGTTCCTAATCTGAGAAATTAATTAAATTATGTTTTTTAATTAGCCCTAGATTTCAGTTTTAAAAGTGCAATCATCAGCTAGTAGGCATTACATTTTCGAGTAGGTTTTAAGAGGCATAGAGTAAAATAACTGTATTAGTCTTCCTTTGTTTCGTTTCTTGAATAAATAAGGACACCCAACAGGAACTGGGCTTTATATTCTCGGTTATGGACTATCTGGTTTTAAGGGACATATGTAGAGAAGAACTTGTTGTGAAAGAGTCCGTCCAGGGAAGTACTGCTACCTTACCTATTTCTGCCGCCAAGCAATAATGTTAGCATTACTGCGTTCCGGTTTTGAAGGGTAAGGATGCTGGTGAAATTACAGGCACTTGTCATCTTATATCTCAGGGTGACGAGCGCAGTGGCGGCGGCCCTTAGATTTTTGCGATTTAATGCTCTGAGTGGCACTGCAACCGTTATGGACAGGCGTGTAGCATACCATCAGGCGCACAACTCATTCGTTCCGTCACTTGATATTATACAATAAAAAGAGTAAAATAACTATATTATTCTTCCTTTGTTTCGTTTCTTGAATAAATGTCATACTCCGGTACGATTTGTAACACAACGAAACCACCAATGGTCTAAGTTGTAACGTTTTGCAGCAAACTAAGTTACCTTTCCTCTTCTGGATTTAAATATTTCATGACGTCGTTGTAATAGAAAGTAAGCGGCATTATACAGGATTATCTCGTAAATAATGGGCTATATTTAAGAAAGTGACAGGCTAGATCACTGCGTGAACTTCTTTAGTACATAATATTGTTGAGAAATCATAAGAACAATAGGCTTTTCACGTATTATGTGAGGTCACTGAGTTCGAGATAATATAGGCGGCGTTGAACCTGAAAGAACCTGTATGCCGCATTAAATGTTTTTTTTTGTTAAATGTCACTTACTAAGAAAAGTGGCTTTTAACTTGAGTAGTCACTCAAAGTCTATTATTTATGGAACGTAGTTAATATTTTGTGAAACAAACACTAACCTGAAACGACAACAAACAATGCGCGATTTTTCTTCGTTAGCTGGTTCATTTTCAATTTCTCTTGCGTCGATCAATGCTATGGTTACAGACGCTGTCTTTTGTTTTCTTTTAATTGAACTTTTCGGGGAATTAGTCAATACCAGCTATGTAAAGGAATAAAAAAGAATTATAAAGACGCAAGTTTTAAATATACTACTACTAATAATACTAATAGTAACCAAGCACAACAAAGCACACAACATGTAGCAACAAATCGGTAACAATTTTTATCAGAATTAATGTCTGAATGCTTAACTTCTTTATTATTGTCTGTGGTCACATAAAACATTATCTATCACGAGTAATATATTATGTATTATAAAAACAAGTTAAGTAAGTTATCGACATATTTTAAATAAAAGGCAAAAATAAAACTTTGGCATTACCAAATTTAACAGTTTACAATTGAGAGAATGAAACAGGATCAAAATTTGAACTGTAAATAAAATGGATCTTTATCAACTTGAAATGTAAATAATAGGGACCTTTTCAACTTTTTCGTTTTTTAAAACTTTTTCGTTCCTTCGGGACTCCTTCGAATTTTTAGCGGCAGCTAATCGAGATCCAATTCTATCTCGCAATGACATTTTTGGAGGTGGTGACGGTGGTACAGGAAACTCTCCGTCTGTTTTATCTATGTGTAGTTCATTTAGGCTGAAATTGGTGTATAAATAAAATTTAAGTGGATTAAACAAAATAAAATCTGTATAGCTCTAAGATATAGATACAGAATGAATGTTGTAAGGCTAAAGTGGGGCATCGAAGTATTAAGTACAATGAAAGTAAATACTACCCGTACATTGTACCTACAAGAACTTAAGAAAAGACGCACGCGAAAACTTATAAGTTCAAATCACGAACAAGCGGCGGACTGACGATAAATGACGTACATCCAGGGAAGTAAAGGTGATTGCGCTTAACATGGAAGTCAAAGGCTATATTTTATAATGAACGTATTTGGTCATAAAGTCGTATATTAGGCAAAACAAGGTTGATGGTCAGAAGCGCGATGTACGTATAAACAAACTGGCTGTGTCACTCGAGTGAGCGGTCGTGATATGGAGTTGGACGCTTGTGAGTACTTATGCTTGGGCGCTCTAAGTGGGGTTAACACGCTATAAACGTATATTATATGTCATTGAAATATAGGTACTTGTTGAATATGAACCATAAGCGAATTAAAGGTACAAAAAATGTGTATAGTTCAAAAGTAATACACGTATGATGCAGGCGGCTACAATGTTAAAACTTGTACGTTAAAAATGACAATTTGTATAGATTTAACTGATTTCCTATAATAAATAAAAGAGTTATTAACAGAGGGTTTCCTTTTTAGCATGCCAGTTAAGCGTTTAATATAATAATAAGAAATGTTTTTTCTGAAGAATTTATAATGTTGGCATGCTGTATTCACTGCGTATTGATTAGATAAAACGGTAAATTACAGAACTAAATCTGCTTATTCAATTGATGTCGTTGTTTTAGAAACAAGTGACATAATGATTAGACTCTACTGGTTCTTACATTAATTTTGTGCAATAAAGGTGTAGATACTTACGAATCAGTACTAACTTTAAAATCCGAATCAAAAAAAGGTAGCGGAGAAAGATAATCATTATCACTTTCAAATTGAGCATCAAAAATACTTGCTTCATCCTCAATGACCTCTTCGATGGCCACGCTTTCTTTAATATGTTCAATAACGATATCGTGCTTCTCAAAACATTTTTCCATTTCGATATTTAGTTCTCCTTTCTGTAGTTCTTTTATTTCTCCGAAATCACTGTTGGTCGAAAATCTTTTTTCACTCGAAGCACTGTTAATTGAATGTCTATTTTCTTTAAAACTGTATTCATCACTAAGTGTAGCTATAGAATCAACTGATCTCGATTTGTCAAGTTTCCTCTGCATTTCCATGTATTTATTTTGTATTCTTTCATGTAATTTGGCTAGCGGGCCTTTTTTTAGACTATCGCTGTCACTTTTTTTATGTTCTTCCATTTTTTTTTAGTTTTAGTCTACAAACGTGTACAACACGTTGTTATTTAACTGTGCATTGGCCTTCTATGCTTATTACTGTATTGGCTTGGCACTTGGGGTATCTAATCTCAGTATTGATATTTTCGCGGTTGGTTATCATTGAGTATTGGATATCTAATCTTTAGAATATTGTTATCAGACTAGTTCATAGAATATGATTTGATTTTTGATATTGACAAAGTGATTTGAAGGCTTGTCATTTTGTTGGCGTTTTCGAACTATAAGCCAAAAGCTTTTGAAGAGAACGGGCCGCGACTTGGCAAATAATGTTATAATAGAAATAATTAATTACCTCTTATTACGTATTAATTACTAAGGCTCATCTCACACTGGCGCAGAGTCGAAGCGTCGCGACGCGTCATGTTTTTCGCCCATAGCACATTCATCTCTATTTTCCCATTATTAAGGTACAAATTTGTGTTTTGTAAATGTGGAATCGAGTGTCGACGCCGCATCACTTGGGCGCCGTGAGGCGGCAGACGCCAACCACACTGTGATCCCGGCGCACTAATGCGAGTGTCGTCGCGCGTCGTCAGGCGGTGTACTTAAAAAAAAAGGACGCGACGCGATGCTTCGACTCTGCGCCAGTGTGAGTTGAGCCTAAGTGAGTTTTAAACGTAAGCCAAAATAGAGCCCGAGTGCATTAATATATTTGTCTTTTCAGCTACTGAGCCGAACACTTAATGAAGTAACACGAACAAAATTGTAATTAACTTTTGCGGTATTTACTTGCAATAAAATAGTATATCCCCATGTCCTTCATCATTTATAATATCTATGAAAATGCAGTATCTATTGCGATGAATCCCGAAATGGTCCATATCGACCCCCAAGGGACCACTTTAACCTGAAAAGGGTCCATATCAGCGAAAAAAATAATTGGGGCGTGTGAGATGAACTCCACGCGAGTGAAATCCATTTAGGCAGGTCGTTAGAAAAATGTTGGCTTTCCATGAAATAAATAATTAACACAAATATCTTATTTTTTATAACAGCCAATGACGGGATGAACAAGGCGTGCGCCTGGTCATAAGCGACACGCCTATTCGTGATTGTGATGTGCCTGTACTTTCACCAGTACTTTTACATTTATCTTTCAAAACGGGAACGCAGTAATGCTTATATTACTGCTTGAGGGCAGAAATAGGTAAGGTGGCAGTACTTCCCTGGACGGTCCTTTCACAAGAAGCTCTACTACTATTAGTAGTATAATCTACTACGCGTAGTACTAAAATATATATTATAGTCTTTATGTATTCCTAAGCTTATCTATCTACATTGAAACAGTTGTCAAATACACATTTGAAGTTAATGAATTTGAAAAAAATCAAAATTACAAAGTCTGGGGGTCTACTGAAACAGAAAAAAATTATAGGTGGTCTACGAGACAAAAAAAGTTTGTGTAACTGACAAAAAAAGTAACAATTGATCTAGTGTTTGTCATAATTGGTGTACAACGTACGATTTTTGGTTCTAAACAAATAAAGATAGGTAGTTTACATGATATAATATACACTCATATCCTACGATTACGTCTGGAATGAATCATGTTGATTACGATAATAAATAGGGAAAAAACTA